CAGCCTGGGTAACGAGCGAAACTCCACTCAAGATGAAAAAAAGAAAAAAAAAAAAGAAGAAAAGGATACTAATATGCAAAAAGAAAACATGTGAAGATATAAAAGTCCCTGGTAAAAGTAATTACACAGACAGATTCAGAATACTCTAATTGTGTGTAATCCTCACATAACTGCAGTATAAAGACTAAAAGACATATCTATCAAAAAAATCAGTTAAGAGATAGGCAATATGAAAAGATATACACAGAGACAACAAAAAGTCACAATGTGGAGGAGTTAAAGTGTAGAGTCTTTTAGTTTTCCTTTGTTTGATTTTCTTTGTAATCAAAGTTAAGCTGTCATCTGTTTAAAATAAGCTGTCATATCTATGTTTTTTATAAGCTTCGTGGTAACCAGGAAGGAAAAACACATAGTTGATACACTAAAAATAAGTATCACAGGCTGGGCACAGTGACTCACACTTATAATCCCAACAATGTGGGAGGCTGGGGCAGGAGGACTGCCTGAGGTAAAGAGTTCAAGAACAGCCTGGGCAACATCGTGAGGCTCCATCTCTACAAAAAAAATTTTTAAATGACCATGGTGGCATGCACCTGTAGTTCCATCTACTTGGGAGGCTAAAGTGGGAAGATCACTTGAACCCAGGAGCTCAAGGCTTCAGTGAGCTATGATCATGCCACTGCACTCCAGGCTGGGTGACAGAGTGAGACCTGTCTCAAAAACAAAACATGATTAAAAATAATTTAAAACACATATTACCAAAGACAATCATCTAACCACAAAGAAAGAGGGCAAGGAAAAAAAAAGTTACAAAACAACCAAATAACAAGTACCAAAAATAGCAGTAGTAAGTCTTTACCTATCAATAACAACATTGAATGTAAATGAACTAATTCTCCAACAAAATGATATACAGTGGCTGAATGGGTAAAAGAAAAGTATTTTAATGACCCAACCATGTGCTGCCTACAGGAAACTCATTTTGGCCAGGCGTGGTGGCTGACGTCTGTAATCCCAGCACTTTGGAAGACTGAGGTGGGCGGATCATCTGAGGTCAGGAGTTCGAGACCAGCCTGGCCAACATGTTGAAACCCTGTCTCTACTAAAAATACAATAAAAATAAAAAAAAAAATTAGCTAGGTGTGGTGGCAGACACCTGTAATCCCAACTACTTAGGAGGCTGAGGCAGGAGACTTCCTTGAACCCGGGAGTTGGAGGTTACAGTGAGCCAAGGCCACGCCACTACACTCCAGCCTGGACAACAAGAGTGAAACTCTGTCTCAAAAAAAAAAAAAAAAAAAAGAAAGAAAGAAAAAAAGGGAAAAAAAAAGTTGGAAAGTGCGAGGAAATGGATTCTCCCCCAGAAATTTCCAGAAGGAACCAGCCCTGCCAAAACCTTGATTTAAAAAAAAAAGAAAGAAAGAAACTCATTTCATCTATAAAGACACATGCAGACTGAAAGTGAAGGGATGGAAAAAGATACTGCACACAAGTGGAAACCAAAAAAGAACAGGAATTCTTATTCTTTTATATCATATAAAATAGATTTTAAGTCAAAAACTGTAAAAAAAAAAAAAAAGCCACTATATAATAATAAAGTGGTCAATTCGGCAAGAGGACATAACAATTATAAATATATATGCACTCAATACTGAAGCAACCAAATATAAAACACAAACATCAACAGATCTAAAGGGAACGATATACTACAATATCTTTAATAGTAGGGGACATTTCAACATCTAACTTTCATTAATGGACAGATCATCCAGACAGAAAATCAACAAAGACACATCAAAGTTAAACTACAATCCAAACCAAATTTACATAACTGACATTTACACAATATTTCATCCAACTGCCACAGAATACACATTATTCTCATCAGTACATGGAACATTCCCAAAAGAGACCATGTATTGGGTCACAAAACATGTCTCACTAAATTCAAGAAAGTTGAAATGGTATCAAGTATTTTTTCTGACTACAATGGAATAACACTAGAAAGAAAGTAAACATTATCCTGCACAACGAATGGGTCAATAAAGAAATTAAGAAAAAAATTTTTAAATTTCTTGAAACAAATGAAAGCGTAAACACAATATATCAAAATGTATGAAATACAGAAAAAGCAGTAGTAAGAGGGACATCTATAGCAATAAACACCTAATCAATAATTTAAGGCCAGGTGCAGTGGCTCACGCCTGTAATCCCAGCATTTTAGGAGGCTGAGGCAAGCGGATAACCTGATGTTGGGAGTTCAAGACCAGCCTCACCAACATGGAGAAACCTCATCTCTACTAAAAATACAGAATTAGACGGCCATAGTGGCCCATGCCTGTAATCCCAGCTAGTCGGGAAGGCTGCGGCAGGAGAATCGCTTGAACCGAGGAGGCAGAGGTTGCAGCGACCCAAGATCACGTCACTGCACTCCAGCCTGGACAAGAAGAGTTAAACTCCATCTAAAAATATCATCATAATAATTTTAAAAGTAGGAAGATTTCAAATAACCTAACAATACAGCTCAATGAACTAGAAAAGCAAAAACAAAGCAAATCCAAAAAAAGGAAAGAAGTAATAAAGATCAGAGCAGAAATAAATGAAATTAAGACTTAAAAACAAGAGAAAATACCAACAAAATGAAGAGCTGGATTTTTCAAAAGATAAACAAAATCAACAAATCTTTAGGTACACCAACTAAGATAAAACCAGAAGACCCAAATAAAATCAGAAACAACTATGGAGACATAACTGGAGACATAACTATGAAGACATAACTACAGAAATGCAAAGGATCATGACAGAATATCATGAACATCTATATTCCAACAAACTGAAACACCTAGAAGAAATAAATCTGTGGACACATACAACCTACCAAGATTGAGACAGGAAGACATATCAAACCTGGTCAGATGCAGTGGCTCACGCCCGTAATCTCAGCACTTTGAGAGGCTAAGGCGGGCAGATCACTTGAGGTCAGGGGTTCAAGACCAGTCTGGCAAACACGGTGAAACCCTGTGTCTACTAAAAAATACAAAAATGCCCAGCTAGGCATGGTGGCACATGCCTGTAATCCCAGCTACTTGGGAGGCTGAGACAGGAGAATCACTTGAACCTGTGAGGTGGAGGTTGCAGTGAGCCGAGATTGTGATACTGCACTCCACCATGGGTGACAGAGCAAGACTCCATCCTCCACCCCCCCAAAAAAAAAATATACACATATTTATATTATAAATATATTATAAATGTTTATAATAAAAAAATACACACACACACACACACACACACACACACACACACACACACACATATGACCTCAACAGACCAATAATGAGTAACAAGATGGAATAAGTAATAAAAATGTCTCCCATCAGAGAAAAGCCCAGGGCCTGATGGGGATGGTTTCAAAGCTAGATTCTACCAAACATTTAAAGAACAACAAATACCAATCCTCTCAAACTACTGTTGCTTTTATCGGCCAGGTGAGGCGGTTCAAATCTGTAATCCCAGTACTTTGGGAGGTCAAGGCAGGAGGATCACTTGAGGCCAGGGATTCAAGACCAGCCTGGACAATATGGCAAGACCCTATCTCTACTATAAAAAAAGATTTTAACTTAAATTTTTTAAAAGAGAAAAAAATAAAATGGCTTTTTGGATGCTGGCAAGAACACAGGAAAAGGGGAATACCTGTAGACTGTCGGTGGGTCTGTAAATTAGTACAGCCACTATGAGAAACAGTATGGAGGTTCCTCAAAAAACTAAAAACAGAACTATCATATGATCCAGTAATCCCACTGCTGGGTATACATTCAGAATAGAGAAAATCAGTACGTCAAAAAGAGATTTGCACTCCCATGTTTACTGCAGCACTATCCACAATAGCCAAAGCATGAAATCAAACAAAGTGTTCATCAATAGACTTAAAGGATAAAGAAAATGTGGGCCAGGTATGGTGGCTCATTCCTGTTATCCCAACACTTTGGGAGGCCAAAGGAAAAAGATCACTTGAGACCAGGAGTTTAGAACAGTATGGGCAACACAGCGAGACCTCTCCTCTAAAAGTAAAATAAAATAAAATGTGGTACATATACCCAATGGAATATTACTCAGCTATAAAGTGAATGAATGAAATGAAATCCTGTCATCTGCAGCAACATATATGGAACTAGAGGTCATTATGTTAAGTGAAATAAGCCAGACACAGAAAGACAAATACCACATGTTCTCACTCATATGTAGAAGATTTAAAAAGATTTAAAAAGTGGATCTCATGGAGATAAAAAGTTGATTGATGGTTACCAGAGGCTGGGAACAGTAGGAGAAAGTGGGGGATGAGGGAGATGGTAAATGGGTACAAGACTACTGTTAGATAGAGGGAAAAAGATCTAGTGTTTGATACTACAGTAGGGCAACTAGAGTTAACCATAACTTGTATAGTTCAGAACAACTGTGGTGATCTTAATACTGACGGTTGTCCCAACTGTCTGTCTGATCATTACACATTGTATGCATGGATGAAAATATCACATGTATCCCAAAATATGTACAACTCTTGTGTATCAATAAAAACAAAAAATAAGAGATGACGCTGGAGATATGCACCAAAGGAGTTTTAATATAAAACCCTTCCCATTCAGGGTAGACTGAAATAGTTCATTATGAACACAGAACTTTTAAGCAGAATTCAGAACTAATACTGAAATAATGTATTCTCTTGAAGGAAAAATAGTATACAAAACACTGTATCATAAACATCCTCATATAAATTCACATATACAAACAAGACACACACACACACACACACACACACACACACACACACACACAATTCCTATTTGTTTCTCTCTACCTTACCAATATATTCTGGATTTTTACTTACCATTTAAAAGCTAGCTTTAATGAGTATTTGGTTGTATCACATAATTTGCTTTCTCTAAGGCTCTTTTCTCTGTATTAACTTTATTTGCCATTAACAAAAATTGAGAGATATCACCAACCTATTGCCACTTGGATACTGTACTACAATGTCATGATCTTCGTCGATGCCACAAACAGTTCCAGTTGTAGTTAAAGTCTCAAACATTCCATCAGTCCATCCTCCATGACCATGCTGCAAAGACTGTACAATTTCTAGATCGAGATCTATATTTACCAGGTCACCAATCTGCAATCCACCAGGATTCCTGTTGCCATTCTGCTCACCTATAATTTCAGAGGCAATTGAATAAAGGGGAGGGAAAATGTCACAACAACATGCAGCTGCATAATCTTTAAATAACATGTAGATATTTTAATTTCAGGTACCATCTAGTTTTAAAAGGTTTTGAGAACTCATTACAATTATTTTGAGAACTCATTATAAAATTTTAGAACTAGAAAGCTTTAAAAAAAAAGAAGAAGAAAGAAGCCTAACAGACTCAAAAATTGAAATAATGAGTTACAACAACGACTGAGTAAGAGTAGAGTCTATAAATGACAATTCAACCTTACATCAGAACACAAAGTTCCAGGTATTGAAAATACTCACTTTTATGCCTGCATAACTTACTATCACTGCATCAGAGCCACAATAACTAACTAGAGAATATGAATGAAAGTCCTATAATTATTTTTTCCCTTAAGTGCTTAGTAATATTTTACTTCAACAAATGGTTCCTGTGGTTCTTGCCCTAAAGAGCATTGTAAAATATGTCAAAGCCCATTCCCTAGATTATGTTCAAAAGCTAGTTCTGAGATGAATTCATGATCACAGAACACTATGCTGAGATCCAAAATATGTATGTTGATTTTGCATTTTTCTTATGAAAGCAAGACAAAAACAAGACAGCTTCTGAAAGCAAGAGAAATAGATGAGCTCATTAAAATTGTAAATATTTTTTATGCATTCTCCTTTTCTAAAAAAAAATAAAGTATACTGCAAAAAAAACCAGCACTTTTTGCTACAAAGGCAAGTCAAATGATTTGGAAGGAGAAACACAGTTCACATGAGAAATGAAACCATTCAGAGAATAAAGACTTGATCAGGGGAGTGTGGTAAACGTTCATCCAGGCAACAATAAATCTATAAAATGAAGGTAGGTTTTGTTTTCTTGTCCCCTTTTTAAAATTTTAATGATACATGAATCTTAATCTTGGCGCTGTTCTTAGGTAGACAATTTGACAAAAATTCTAAGGAATTTATAAGCACTAAAATGTCAAATCCTATTCTCAATAGTGTATGACATACAACTGTTATAACCTAACGCAAAACTTTTCAATGATATAATTGACAGTTAAAAGATAAAAGTTTAAAATATATATTATGACATAAATGGCCAATCAATTCTCAAGACATGACAACTCTGAGTCCAAATAAAGCATAATAAAAGAAAAAAATTTTTTTTTTTTTTTTTTTTTTTTTGAGACGGAGTTTCGCTCTTGTTACCCACACTGGAGTGCAATGGCGCGATCTCGGCTCACTGCAACCTCCGCTTCCTGGGTTCAGGCAATTCTCCTGCCTCAGCCTCCCTAGCAGCTGGGATTACAGGCACGCGCCACCATGCCCAGCTAATTTTTTGTATTTTTAGTAGAGACGGGGTTTCACCATGTTGACCAGGATGGTCTCGATCTCTTGACCTCATGATCCACCCGCCTCGGCCTCCCAAAGTGCTGGGATTACAGGCTTGAGCCACCGTGCCCGGCCCAAGAAAAAATATTTTAAGACTAAAGTAAAGCCAAAAAAATTTCTCCAAGTAACTTTAGTGGTAATTAACTTTTCTAAAGTCCAATTTAAACATTTTACTGATTCCACGAACTCTGACCCATTATTTAGTAACTCTCTAGTCTGCTAACTCACCTAGCACAGGGCAGTGATCTCTGTAGAAAGAACCTCCCTTGGCATCCTGGACACATTTCAGATCAGACTAAGAAGAAAAGAAACCAGAAAAATCACCCATGAAAACTTCAAATATGGCTCAATACCTGAAATAGGCAAAAATATTCATTCAGAACATATCCAAAACAGAAATCAAGAATAGTCTAGGTCAACAATCACACTAACATTGCTTTCAAAAGCACTTGTAAAAACTGGAAACATAATCTTCAGATAGGTCATATTTTATTTACTTTTAGCATTCTTTTAAAGCTCAAAATTAAAATGTCTGAATCTGGCCGGGTGCAGTAGCACTTTGGGAGGCTGAGATGGGCAGACGAGTTTGAAAACAGCCTCGTCAACATGGTAAAACACCATCTCTACTAAAAATACAATAAATTAGCCATGTGTGCATGCTGGTGGGCACTTGTATTCCCAAATACTCAGGAGGCTGAGGCAGAAGAATTGCTTGAACCCAGGAGGTAGAGGTTGCAGTGGGCTGAGATTGCACCACTGCATTCCAGTCTGGGCAACAGAGCAATCTGTCTCAAAAAATAAATAAACAAAATAAAATGTCTGACTGAGCAATCTGTCTCAAAAATAAATAAATAAAATGTCTGAATCTTATTATATTAGCCTAAAATACTTATAATAAATACTAATTATAGTATTTGGAAAAATGCATGCTAAAAAAGGATAACAAATATCTATTATTGGAAATCTGCACAGCACATTTTTTTCTTTTCGTGTGTGTGTGTGTGTGTGTGTGTGTGTGTGTGTGTGTGTGTGTGTGTGACAGAGTCATGCTCTGTTGCCCAGGCTGGAGTACAGTGGCTCACTACAACCTCCGTCTCCCAGGTTCAAGCGATTCTCATGCTTCAGACACCTGAGCAGCTGGGGATTATAGGAATGAACCACTAGGCCTAGCTAATTTTGTATTTTTAGTAGGGACAGGGTTTTATCACATTGGCCATGCTGGTCTCGAACTCCTGGCTTCAAGTAATCCACCTACCTCAGACTCCCAAAGTGTTGAGATTACTGGCATAAGCCACTGCGCCTAGCCAGCACATTCCATTTTAAAGATACTTTTACAAAAAACAGACAAAAAAACTGGAAATTATTCAAAACTAAATAGCAAATACAAAGTAGAAAATGTGAAACCAAATAGTCTTTTGATTCCTTGTCCAGCTAATTTTCCTATTTACACCAACTTTTTTCTTTTTTGAGATACAGTCTTGCTCTGTCACCCAGGCTGCAGTGCAGTGGTGCCATCTCAGCTCATTGCAACCTCCGCCTCCTGGGTTCAAGCAATTCTCTTGCCTCAGCCTACCCAGTAGCTGAGAGTACAGGTGTGTGCCACCAAGCCCAGCTAATTTTTGTATTTTTAGTAGAGATGGGGTTTCACCATGTTGGCCAGACTAGTCTCAAACTGCCAACCTCAAGTGATCCAACTGCCTCAGCCTCCCAAAGTGCTGGGATTACAGGTGTGAGTCAGCACACCTGGCCTTACATCAACTTTAGTCCTTACCTTTAGTCCTTACTTCACCATAATTTGGTTAACTAATGTTCCTTCCCACTTATCTATTACAATAAAACAAATTATTAAGTACCTGAATGGGGGAGGTAGCTGTGGTATAATAAAAAGCACAGAAAATGTGGGCTTAGAGAAAGAATCCTGTGTGTACTGTGAAAATTCAGAAGTGGATTTACTTTAAAGTGCCTAACAGTATAGATGTATATAGTAGATGATTAGAACAACTTACCCTATCAAGGATACATTTGCAAGTGTGTGTGCGTGCACGCGTGCACGTGCGTGCGCGCGCGCACACACACACACACACACACACACACAGCACCCAACTCTTTACAGCATCTTTTACCGTCACTGAATCCTGGCCAAAAAGACACAGGAGTCAAATTGGTGTTTTGGGATTTTTTTTTTTTTTTTTTTGAGACAGGTTCTCTCTCTGTTGCCCAGGCTGAAGTGCAGTGGCACTATCATGGCTCACTGCAGCCCTGACTTCCTAGGGCTCAAGTGATTCTTCCACTTCGGCCTCTCAAGTAGCTGGGACTACAGGCTCACACCACCATACCCAGCTAATTTTTGTATTGTTTATAGAGACACAGTTTCGCCACATTGCCCAGGCTGGTCTCAAACTCCTGAACTCAACTGATCCACCCACTTCAGCCTCCCATGGTGCTAGGATTACAAGTGTGAGCCAGTGCTCTGAGCTGTCAAATTGTTTTAACATAATACTTTAACCCAGCAATTTTACTTCTAGGAATCTATCCTAAGGAAATATACCCATATGCACAAAGGCATATACACAAGGACACTTACTGACACACTGCTTGAAGCACTAGGGGAAACAAAATCCAACCCAGTTACCCATCAAGAGAAATCTCATTAAATAAGGCCGCGCGCGGTGGCTCAAGCCTGTCATCCCAGCACTTTGGGAGGCCAAGGCAGGAGGATCACGAGGTCAAGAGTTCGAGACTAGCCTGGCTAACATGGTCAAACCTCATCTCTACTAAAAATATAAAAACTAGCCGGGTGTGGTGGCATACATCTGTATTCCCAGCTACTAAGGAGTCTTAGGCTGGAGAATCACTTGAACCTGGAAGAAGGAGGTTGTTGAAGTGAGCAGCCTGGGTGGTAGAACGAGACTCCATCTCAAATAAATAAATAAATGCACAACCACATAAAGGAGTACTACTCGGCCATCTCTCTCTTTCTCTCTCTCTCTCTCTCTCTCTCTCTCTCTCTCACACACACACACACACACACACACACACACACACACACACCCCATTCATTTAAGTGCCTGAGCACATATAGCACATAGGCTTCATTTGAAGAAAATTAATAATCAGCTGGAATCCTAAAAAATTCACAATTTAAAAACAGGCAGAGGCATGAAGACAATAAAAAACTGTTAACCACTCCTATACACAATAATAAAAATTGGCAAGTGAAGTATTTGTTTAAATTCACATGGTTGGCTTTTAACATGTAAGTGGAATAAATTGGTCAGGTGTGATGGCTCATGCTAGCAGCCTCAACATTTTGGAAGGCCAAGGTACAGCATACTTGGAACTCAGGAGTTTGAGAACATCGTGGACAATACAGCAAGACCCAACTTTTTATTTTTTTGAGATGGAGTATTGCTCTCTCGCCCAGACTGGAATGTAATGGTGCGATCTCCGCTCACTGCAACCTCCGCCTCCTGGGTTAAAGCAATTCTACTGCCTCAGCCTCCTGAGTAGCTGGGATTACAGGCATGCATCATCACATCTGGCTAATTTTTTGTATTTTTAGTAGAAATGAGGTTTCACCATGTTGGCCAGGCTGGTCTCAAACTCCTGACCTTGTGATCCACCTGCCTTGGCCTCCCAAAGTGCTGGGATTACAGGCGTGGGCCACCGTGCCCAATCACAAGACCCCATTTCTACTAAAATTTTTTTAATATTAGCCAGGCATGATGGCACATGCATATAGTACTAGCTACTCCAGAAGCTGAGGAGGGAGGCTTGTTTGAGCCCAGGAGTTCAAGGCTGCAGTGAACTATGATTGCACTACTGCTCTCCAGCTTGAGCGACAGAGCAAGTCCCTATCTCTAAAAATAAATAAATAAATGGAAATAAGTTAAGGGGACAATAGGATACTTTCTCCACTCCTAATAAGGAACATAGATGTTGATTTTAAAAAAGGAAATTTAAAGAATCCTTTGAATAGGGAATGTATTCAAGATGAAAGGATACTGAAAGACATTAATATTTTGGCATTTATTTATTATACTCTATAAATTAATTGGCAAGATCAACTTTTTCTAAGATATAGTCTTACTCAGTCACCTAGGCTGGAGTACAGTGGTGCAATCTCAGCTCTCTGCACCCCCCACCCTCACAGTTCAGATGATTCTCATGCCTCAGCCTCCTGAGTAGCTGGAATTACAGGCACATACCATCATACCCGGCTAATTTTTGTATTCTAGTAAAGACAGGGTTTTGCCATGTTGGCCAGGGTGATTTCAAATTCCTGATCTCAAGTGATCAGCCCACCTGGGCCTCCCAAAGTGCTGGGATTACAGGTGTGAACCACCATGCCCAGCCAAGATCAGCATTTGAATAATGGTCCATGAAATACAAAAACATAGGAAAATCCACTGAATAAGCCTCCATTATTTTCCTAAACACTTAAGTAATTACAGGCGTTTCTAGTCAATTATTTTCCATTATCAACACTATCCTTTTAAAACACCAGGGGGAGATCTCCTAAAATTAATTTTAATATCTGCTATAATTTATACTTATATAAGCTACCAGAGCACAGAATACAAATATATCACAAACCTCATTATAATACTGTCTTCCAGGTCCATGCCAAGGGATGGTCTTTCAGATGATTCCAAATCTTTTTGACAGATTTTGGTAAATAAACCCCTGGACTTACAGTGATAATGGGTCAGCTCTATACAACCAATATATAGTAAGTTACCCAAACATTAACTGAAGGCAAAATCATATTTACTATTAAATGGTTTAGAGAAACATAGTAAAAATGTAAAGGTTCTGACAAAGGAAAAATAATAAAAGAGCAGCAAGAGCTATTCACCCATCTGACATTTTCTTTCACCTGCTATGGCTCTTCACTACTTACCATGCCCTCAAAGCCAACTCTGTAAAGGTTCTTAGCACCATTATCCCAGAGGACATATGCTGCACTATGTGGGCTTGATGCACTCCAGTCCTGGATTTCTGTTACCTAACAGAAGTTTTTGAGAAAAGAATTTTTTTAAAGGGGAGGGAAGAGGTTAACTCTTTTAATTGTTACATTTAAATCTTAAAAATCATTTCATCTAGCAACCTGTGTAACAGGATCATGAAAAATACTTATTTGCAAAATATGTCACTCCTAACACATAGTTAAATTATCATTAGAGCCATATCTTTCCAGACTTATAAGGTAATTTCTAAAACCTTATAGAAATTTTAAATCAAGAGGCTTAGGGATTACAGTAATAGATTACCAGAAAATACAATTTGATACAAAATTTAAATTCTTTTTGTTCTTAAAGGGATTCCTTTAAGAACAGTATATTCTTTTAAGCCCATTACTCAATATGAAATTTAAAATCTTTGCAAAAAAAACCCAAAATAATTCAAGATAAACCTGCTCTTTGGTCAGCTAAAAATTAACAAGCACAAAGCTCTTGAAGAGCCTTGATGGCAATGTTCAAGTAGGACTGGAGTTGCTTTTGCTCCTCCAGCAGTATCCCACAGTTGCAGGCCACCTAAGCTAAAACAGCATGCCTACCACGGAAACCCAGACACCACTTCCAAGCCCCACACCCAACTAATCTGATTCTTGAATTCATTGGATTTAAAAAAAAATACTGGGGTTTCCATTGCTTTAAGGCCTAGAATCACATACGGGTTGAATTTACTTATCTGAAATGCTTAGGACAAGAAATGTTTTGGATTTCATTTTTTTTCAGATTTTGGAATATTTGCACTATACTTAGAGCATCCCAAATCCAAAAATCTGAAATTCTACATGCTCCAAGTCTTCTTCAAGCATCATTAGTGCTCAAAAAGTGTCAGATTTTGGAGTATTTTGGGTTCAGATTTTTTTATTTAGAATGTTCAACCTGTACACAAAATGACAAGCAGTGAGCATTAAACTTGGGCATCCTCAAGTAAACCTGACTACAGCAAAGAGTGGAAAGCTGCATACATGCAATGCAGATTACTCTTCTCCATCTTGATACTTACAGTCACAGTCATCCTTCATAGCTACGCTTAGAACGATAGGCTGAAGTATAATTTTTAAGGCATATGCTTAAAGACTATTACTTTAAATAAGATATATAATGACCATTCTTTTTCATCCTGTACTAACGAAATAGTTTTGTAAGCCAGGTATTTTATGACATATTTGTGGAAATAAAAAGGTTTTATGTTTAAGTTCTGATAAATCACTTGAAACATATTTTAAATTGTTAGTAAATTAGTCTATTATTTTAAATTTGGAAATGTATTACACATTATAAAATATAGCATATATAAACTTTAAGGAATTAAAAAAAATAAACTGAACACCCATGTAATTACCCAACCTAAGAAAAAAATACAACCAGTACTTTTCAAGTCCCCTATGTCCATCTCATCAATCCCGTCCTCCTGCCTCCTATTAGAGGTAACTACCATCCTGAAGTTACAGTCCATCATTTAACTTGCTTTGCTTTATGACTCCAGCTCAACTAACCCTATATAACCTTTCAAAGTAACAGTTTCTAGCACTCAAAAGTAAAACATGCAATCTGTAACAAAAAGTTCCTTCTGATTCTAACATATTCAGATTCAACTTCATTTGTTTTAAAAAATGTAATGCTACACTAAATAAGTCTGTATTTTATAGGAATAACAAAAAAGCATTTGACTAACTAAACAACAAAGACAAATTTGTTTAAATCAAATTTACTCTAAATTTCAAATTACTTGAAATAGAAGCAAGTTCATTAGTCATACTCCAAATCCTTAAATGAAATTCCTTCATTTGTTAATATGACTTGATTTATTATTGAGGGGCAAACAAAGTGGAAGGCATAAGAAAATAACTACAGTAATTTCATATGCGTGGAACAGCTGCTAAAACCATTACGTATAATGCAGCCAAGAAACTCTGTAAAGGATACATCTGACAAAATTTGCAAGAGCTATTCACCCATCTGACATTTTCCTAACATCGCTAATAGCAAGATAATCAGACTTTATGTGTCCCCTTATGTGATACAATAGAAAATACACAGCATCACATGAGGTGTTTGCCAAAACAAAATTGAACCTGAATCTAATCAAGCCTCTAAATCTAACAATTAGTTTATCGCAAATACAAAGATTAAAAGAACAAGTTAAAGAAGTTAAAGAGTACTATAAAGAATCAATTGGCCAAATTGAAAGAATTTGGTTTCGTCAACAAATAAATGGTATTTTTTTTAAGTTAATAATTACTGAAGTTGGGTGTGAGTGTGTGGAAATTTATTATACTATATTTACTACTCTAGTGTATGTTTGAAATACTCCATAATAAAGAGTTTTAAAAAAAAAATCTAGTGTACGTAATCATATGTGTAAAACTAACAGCTTTAAAAGACTAATATGTATAGCAGGACTTAAGAAGCCTTTTAAGAATAGGCAAGGCACAGTGGCTCATGCCTGTAATCCCAGAACTTTGGGAGGCAGAGGGAGGAGGATTGCTTAAACCCAGGAGTTGGAGACCGGCCTGGGCAACATAGCAAGACTCCATCTCTAATATATTTTTTTTTAAAAAAAGGAAGAATACACTATACACAATTAATGTGGGTTACATCATGGGAATGGGATAAAGCAGACAACAGTGAAGAGGAAAAAGGATGTTAACTTTCTTCATTCACATACACAGGCAAAAAAAAAAGTCAGACAATAAAAATTACATTTGGTATTAATGTGGTTAACAATGTTACTCTAAAGACTTCTTTTACCCAGTTTCCTCACTTGGAGTCACATGTACAAGATGGTTTCAATTCTTTTTGTTCATTTTGTTATTTTTGTTGGTTTGTTTTGAGATGGAGTGTCACTCCGTCACCCAGGCTGGAGTGCAGTGGCACAATCTTGGCTCACTGCTACCTCTGCCTCCCAGGTTCAAGCAATTCTCCTGCCTCAGTCTCCCTAGTAGCCGGGACTACAGGTGTGTACCACCACACCTGGCTAATTTTTGTATTTTTAGTGGACACAGGGTTTCACCATGTTGTCCAGGCTAGTCTCAAACTCCTGACCTCAAGCGATCCAACCGCCTCAGCCTCCCAGAGTGCTGAGATTACAGGCTGAGCCACCATGCCTGGCCCTCATTTTGTTCTTAAAACATAACATGTGTTAAATCAAAGCAAATCAAAAATGCAATACGAATGACTCAAAGCTGTAAGAATCCCTACTTTTATCCCAAAAATAGTGCCAATATAGCAAAAAAAAACTACAAAATTCCATTTATGTGGCTTCAAACAGCAAATGCCTTCAAAAACTAATGCAGAAAGATGACTTCCAACCCTCTGACCATACAATTAATTATGGAGAAAACTAAAATCTTTTCAAAATGAAAGTATTAAAATTTTACTTCTCACATGCTCTTTCAAAAGAAGTTACTAGAATGTGTGTTCTACCAAAAGAGACAGTAAGCTAAGTAAGATGATATAATGGGATACAGAAAACATGAGATCCAGCCAGGAAAAGATGCAAAGTCATCTTTGTTCATCACAGGGCTTCAAAGGGAGCTTCTAGGATGACTACTACACCAAGCATGGAAAGTGGCCTGTCCAGATTGCAGCCATGTGGTATGTGAAGGCCAGATAAGTTAAAGGCTCTCATCCCCATTGCCACTGTACCATATTCCCACTCACTCTTCACCCCAATCTCAGCTGCTATCTAGATCAGCTAAGATTACTCATTTCACACACAGAATATTCTGCTTCAACCTACTCCTATAACTCTGAACATGCCACACTATCTGCAAAGGATAACAGAAGTAGGTGGGCTGGATAACAACATAGTTGCCCACTGCCCCTCAGGAACAGGCCTTTGAGGGAATAGAATACAAAACAAGTCAATTCAAATGATATTTGAATAGCAGGAAAGTCGAGGGCAGGAGATGCTGCTTAGGGAAGACTGGCCCAAACACGTTCAAAAAAGCATGCTAGGTAACAAAATAACAATATGAAACCTGAAGGTGGGAAGGTAAAACCTACCTGATGACCCTCTAAAAAACATCAATGCTTATAAAAAGCAAGAACAATCTTTTTACTTCCAGAAAAAAAAAGAAATCAAGATTTTAAAACCTGTTACGGCATAGTAAAAAATGGGCCAAGAAATTCACTTATAGTAGTAATAAAAAGGTTCTGAACATGTAATATTCTAGAATATATGACGAATTAAGAAAAACACTGTACCTTTCCCCTACGTCCATTTCCCCCATCTTGATCTTCCCACTGCCAGTCCACTCCTCGCACCACTCTGGCACCTGCAAAGATTCCTCTGGCTGTAATCTTCTTAGATTTCCTACGAGACTCTAACAGAACCCTAAAAATAAAATTATTAATTTTCAAGTTTATATAAAAATAGGTAACAATAATATACTTTTTAAAACAAAATTATAAAAATGTTATTTTGAAAGTAAAAAGATTCTTCATTGTTCTGGTTACTAACATAACAGCATGATACAGGAATACCTTTTATATTCTACAGGTGATGATGGCAGTAATAGTTGTAATAATAATCACAGCTTACTTTTACTAAGCTTTTATGCTATAATATGTAAAAGCACTTGCATAGGAGTAAAGTGTGTTACTCTCCTTAAGAGAAAGTTATGGCTATATTATCCACTTTATAAATGAGGAAACTGAATGTCAAAGAAGTAATCTGCCCAAAGCCACAAAAGTTAAAATGTAATGGACTCCACATATGATCCTAGCCTAAGTATTTCAGGGTATCATTATACTCTTCACTTATTGTTGAAGTGGCAAACTTGAATCTCTATAGCTTCCAGGTAAGTAATATAAATGAGAGCCTAAGAAAGACAGTACTACAATAGCAAATGGCACTTGACCTCAGACTTAGGAAGATAACAGGAAATGGCAGGAACTTTGGTGGACTCAAAAGCATCATCAGCCTAACGGGTCCAGTCTAAATGGGCTCCTTTGCTTCAACGAACTGTTGCCAAGAACAAACGTAAGCCCAGAATTGATAGTCTTTTGTATTGGGGGTGAAGGGCAGGGAGCAGGGTGTTCTACGAATCCATTCACAGATTTTTGTGTGAAATCACCTGGTTTTAAAAATTAGCCACTATTCAAAAATTTACAGTGCTGTTGATATGGTATGGCTGTGTCCCCACCCAAATCTCCTCTTGAACTGTAGTTCTCATAATCCCCACATGTCATGAAAGAGACCCAGTGGAAGGTAACTTAATTATGAGGGTGCTTACCTCCATGCTGTTCTCTTGATAGTGAGTGACTTCTCACAAAATCTGATTATTTTAATAAGGAGCTTTCCCCCTCTTTTGCTCAGCACTTTTCCTTGCTGCCGTCATGTGAAGACGGGCATGTTTGCTTCCCCTTCCACCATGACTGTAAGTTTCCTGAGGCCTCCCCAGTCATGGTGAACTGTGGGTCAATTAAACCTCTTTCCTTTATAAATTACCCAGTCTCGGTTATTTCTTCAAGCAGTATGAAAATGGATTAACACATGTATATATCAGTATATCTGTGGTCTGGATTTTACCTATACTAACTTGTCCTCACAGTACTACATACTTACAGAAGATTATGGACCTTGATAAAGATTCTACACTCAACTATCTGGGCTAGCTTGGTTCTCCAAGGCCATCTATCACTACTGTTCTATATCCTTCTCTGTCACATAATCAGAAAGGTTTGGCGTATTTTTGTTTTGTTTTTCTGATTTTATTTCATTGGTTTATTCTTTTCATTTCTTTATATATTTATTTTAATAGGGATGAGGTCTTACTATGCTGTCCAGGCTGGTCTTAAACTCCTGATCTCAAGTAATCCTCTCACCTCAGGCCTCTCAAAGTGCTGGAATTAAAGGCATGAGCCACCATGCCCAGCCCTAGTCATTTTTACAATGTCTTTATTATTCCTTAATTTTAATTGCAAACAAAAGACAAAAATAACTAGCACTTGACCTCAGACTTCGGAAGATAACAGGGCACAGTAGGAACTTTGGTTGACTCAAAAGCATGATCAGTCTAAAGGGTCCAGTCTAACTTAATTTTAATTACAAACAAAAGACAAAAATAACTAGTTATTTTTGTCTTTTGTTTGTAATTAAAATTAAGTTATAATTACTCCGTTAATAAGTGGCAGGACTATGATCTATACCAAGACAGTCTGACTCCAAAGTCTATTTATCTACTCCTACTCCTAGCTGCTTCCCTATGACTGGTTGGATTCTTGCTCCTTTGCATTATCTGTATCTATATGAGAAGATCCCATGCCTAAAACTCTGCACCCATTAACAATGAATGCTCCTCTATCATTGCTCCTAAGACACTTAATACATATCTCTAACACAATCTAAAACATCAACTGACAATCATTGATTCATTATTTCCTTTAATTTTGTAAACTCTTTAACACTACTATGTGTGTTATTCATCTTCAAATGTCCATAAACATAGTAGATGCTGTGTAGTCCTAACAAATGCCTAATGACTCAATCAATGGGCCCTACCGTTCATCTGGTATCAATTAACAGACCAGAAGGCAGAAGAAAATAATAACAAACTAGAAGGCAGAGTGAGAAGAGCAATTATTTTCTTTGGATGCCCTTGTATTTCAAATGTACAGTAGTATTTGAAATACAAGGGCACCCAAAGAAAGCACTTTAAGTCAGAGAAAGAACAGTCCAGATTACCTTGGAAAAGTACAGACAGCACCATCTTCACAGTGCTCTTCTCTTATAATATGGCAGGTTTGGTACACTTCTACCCTGCTTTTTGGTACCTCCTGTTACTAAACCAACTGTCAGAAGCTATTTGCTAATCCTGTTTTTAAGGCCCAGTAATATAAAACTTGAATACAAACAAAAACCCTCATCTGAAGAAAATAAGGATTTCCCCTACCTCTCACTTCCTGGTGTAGTAATTCGGTAAAAGCGATGTCTTAAATGATGTTTATCTCCATGGTAACACACTGTGCACAAATCATAATTTGTACACTCTGCACATTTCCATCGAATGCCAATGATTGGTTGCTGGCGGCAGGTATCACACATCGTTCCATCATGCTTGATGCCTATTAAAACAAGGACACCAAAAAAAAAAAAAAAAAAAAAAAAAAAAAAAAAAAAAAAAAAAACAAGGACACATGCTTAATCACACATCTTTTATTTGAATATTATTCCATGTGAGAAAAAATAAGAACAGAACATTTTACAAGAAAGTCTAATAAATTGGGAAATAACATTTCAAATTTAACACACAGAGCTTCAAGATAATGGATCTCAACTATTTTAATCAGTGCAAATTACAACATTTTCCCTCTGCTCCCTTTTTCATCAGTAAAGAACACATCTCAGTAACTCTTTCCTCATTCTCATCTACAAACTAGAACTTAAGTTCAATGCAGAAAAAGAAAGAATCCTTTATCACTAAGGAGATGTTTCAAACTACAAAACCTCAGAAATTCTTGGAAGAATTTTAACTTATTTTCTAGGTAAACAATTACTCCAAAAGAAAAGACCATTTTACCCTCATATCATGGAAACAAACTATCAATTAACTTAAGCATTTACCACCCTTACATATTGACAAGGGTTTTATCCCCTTAGCGAACAAGAAATAATAACCTTTAGAAAAAAACAAACATTTGGTAAAATTATCTCCACTAAAATTAATCACATGGATTAATGAGACAGACATTAGAACTATAAAAGGTACCAATATAAGTAATGAAAATAACTTTCATTTTCAGGTGAAATAATTGGGGGTAACACTCCTTTACTACTCTATTGTTATATTAATATCACTTATTCAATAAATTAAAACTAGGATTTTTTTTTCAACAATGTGTGGCTTGTCAACATCAGTGTCACTACTTTATAAACACATCCTGGATGCTCAATGCTGAACAAAGGCTGTATTATCTGTGCAAAAGTGATACTCTGGCCAGGTGCAGTGTCTGTAATCCCAGTACTTTGGGAGGCTGAGGCAGATGGATCACAAAGTCAGGAAATCGAGACCATCTTGGCCAACATGGTGAAACCCTATCTCTACTAAATATACAAAAATTAGCTGGGCATGGTGGCACATGCCTGTAATCCCAGCTACTCAGGAGGCTGAGGCAGGACAATCATTTGAAACAGGGAGTCAGAGGCTACAACGAGCCGAGATCTCATTACAGCACTCCAGCCTGGCAACAGAGCAAGACTCCATCTCAAAAGAAAATAAAAAAAGTAACACACTCTCCTGGATTCAAGTTCTGACTCCATCTGCAGCTATTTTTATGCCTTTGAAAGGGTCATTTTATCACAAGTATTTAATTTTTTTTTCCAAAATAACTGGAGGGAGATAGAGGGGCAGTAAATCGGGATTTAGGTAAAACAAGATTAGCCATGCTGAAGTTGGGTCATGGGTACATGGGAGTTCATTACATTATCTTCCTCTTTGTATCTGTTTAGAAAATTTCCATAATTAAATAGAAGAAAGGAGCCCTTTCATTCTCACAACCTCAATCCCCTTTGGAGAATGTAATATATTCTTTAAAGGTGAGACAACATGTTCTAAAAATCGAATAACATGCTATATATGTAAAAATAAAGTACAAAAGTGGTCATATTACTAAATAATATACTATTGCTACTTCCTGATAAGAAGAAAAAAAAAAAAAAACCTATGTTATTCATTATCTATATTCAGCTAACCAGATTCTAAAGGGCCAAACTTGAGTATATGCCTGTTTTGAAAGAAAGGGAGGGGAAGGCCAAGGATCAGGAAGTAAGAGGGAGGGAAGGCAGGAAGGAAGGAAGCAGGGAAAGGAGGAGGAAGAGAAAGAACACCTGAAAGAACTGGGATACCTAGTGGATTACAAAAAAGCCAAATATGTTTTATGCCCAATACCAAATATGTTTTATGCGCAATCCTTCTACAGTATCCTGCCACATAAATGCCTGACTGTAGGGACAGAGAACAGCAGACATGAGCATCTACTGATTCATTCAGAACTGTTTCTTTATTCCTACTGCAGGCATTCCCTCTGCTGCTTTCAAATAACACTGTTAGAGCCATGTTTACACCATTGCACTCCAGCCACAGCAACTAAGAAAACTCTAACAAAAAAAAATATATATCACTCCCGCTGTAGTGTGAAGAAAAAAGATATGAAAAAAGTAAAAGTGCCTAGAGAAAGGGACTCAGGTTAAAAGAAGTTCGTAGCAGTCGAGGTAAGACAATGGTAGCTTAAATTAGGGTGATGGCAACAGTAGAAACTGAGAGAAACGGGCTCCCGAGATATTTAGGACTTGGTAGCCATGGGTCAGAAGACAAAAGATGTAGAGGATATAAATGAGAAAGTCTAAATGAGATCATTCAAGAGAAAACAGTTTAAGTATCAGAGATATTTAGCAATTAAACAATAAACTGAAATCCAGAACTGCTCTGCTTAAAAACAAGAAGAGAATCACCAACAAAAAATAAGTAAGAGCATCTAATTTAAAAATGCAAGTCCATCCGGGCACGGTGGAACGTGCCTATAATCCCAGCTACTCGGGAGGCTGAGGTGGGAGGATCACTTGAGCCCAGGAGTTCTGGGCTGCAGTGTGCTATGCCAATCAGGTGTCCGCACTAAGTTCGGCATCAATATGGTGACCTCCTGGGAGTGGGGGACCACCAGGTTGCCTAAGGAGGGGTGAACTGGCCCAGGTCAAAACTCCCGTGCTCATCAGTAGTGGGGTCACGCCTGTGAATAGCCACTGCACTCTAGCCTGGGCAACATAGCGAGACCCCATCTCTAAAAAAAATAAAAATAAAAAAAATGCAAGTTGAGGTCTCCACTGATAGAAACTCGCCTGAGAAAATAAATAGGAAAAGAATCAGGAAGAGTTCCACAAAAATGATGGATGAGTAGATCTTTCAAAGAAAGGAAGAAATCACAGAAAAGCAGAATATGTTCAATGAACCAGGAATGACTTTGCTTAGCAGGAACATGCAATACAGCCAGAGACTTGGAGATAAATTATAGTCAGGCTAGAAATTAACAAGATCAGACACGATTCCTAACCTGTATACAATACAGTATTTAAATTGCTACCTCAAATGGTAAAAACAAGCATATATGATTTAAGAATTTACTTGTATAACTTACTATCCACTTAATATTCAAAATCAACTTAAATACTCTGGGACCAATATTCTCATCTATAAATTAAGAAAACCCTTTCACATGGAAAGAGACATTGTGAGGCTAAATTGTTAGAAAGTCCTAGAAATGGAAAGAAAGTGATAGGTAAAACACACTTTGAAAAACTTTAAAGCAAAATATACATATAAAGAACTGTACTGGACTTCATCTTAACATAGATTTAGTAAATAAATGCACTAGTCATCTATTTAAATAATATCATAATCAAAATCATCATCTATCCCAGACAGCTCTGCAATACTTACACAGAAATCAAAGAGCTTAATAAAAGTTTTCAATTTTTCAGAGACTGTATATGGGGAACATTTAATTATTCATCTATGAATTAAAAGATTAAAAGAAATAAAAACTTCTAAATAGCAATTTTATACCATACTACTAAAGTAACTAAAGTAATTTAAAAGTTGGTTTCTGTAGATTTGCTTAGGTTCCCTCATGTTTTTGTTTTTAAAGTGACATACATGGCATCTCTGATATTTATACTTCATGTTAAATTCTCCTATTCACTCAGCTGCTTCCTAAGATTAATATACACTCAGTGTAAAAACTTGGAAAACCACAAAGGGTAATTCCATCAGCACATCCAGGGAATTATCTTTCTAGCTTTTATATATTACAAGTATTATGCAATTTAGATACAAAATGTTCATTGCAATTCCTTGAAAACTACTTTATAAAATGATATTTTATCATGTCAGTAATAATTCTTCTACAACAGGGTTTAATAACTGCATAGAATTTCCTTCTATGGATTAACATAATTTACAAATAATAGTCCCATATTTTCTTTTTTCTTTTTTCTTTTTTTTTTTTCAGATGGAGTCTCACTCTGTAGCCTAGGCTGGGGTGCAGTGATGAAATCTCAGCTCACTGCAACCTCCGCCTCCCACATCCCCATTCAAGCAATTCTCCTGCTTCAGCCTCCTGAGCAGCTGGGATTACAGGCACGCACCACCACACCCAGCTAATTCTTGTACTTTTAGTAGAGACAGGGTTTCACCATGTTAGCCAGGCTGCTCTTGAACTCCTGACTTCGTGATCCACCCACCTCGGCCTCCCAAAGTGCTGGGATTACAGGTGTGAGCCACTGTGCTCAGCCATTAGTCCCATATTTTCAACATTGGTTATATCAACTTTTTGTCTATCCGCCACAAACAAATTTCTTTGAATGTGCCTTTTTAAAACATTGAGGGTAGGGTCAAAGTCTTTGAAGGCATTTGAAATACTCTGTAAGTGCCTTCTATAGAGACTGTGTCCATTTATATTTCCCTTTCAGCAGTATCTGACTGGCTTTCTTGACATATCTTTAGCATGCACTGAGGCAGTATTTTTAATCTCTGCCAATTTGAGAGGAATAAATTGGTATTTCTTGTTCATTTTCTTTTTTAAATTATAAAATTAATAACACACTTATAGTAAAACTTTAAACAACCCAAAAGCATAAAGAACAAAATGTGAAAGTACCCCCGCACCATGCACTCCCACCTATCGTTAGCAGTTTGGTGAGGGTTTTCAGATTGTTTTCTGGGTACACATTGTCTATGTGTGCTCTCATCGGCATGTGTATGACTTCTGAGATTTGTTTCATACTTAGAAAGACCTTCCTCAAAATGGTAAAATATACTATTCAACTCTTAACTAGCACTTTTATGGTTTTCTCAGCATTGGCTCAGAGCTCCCTGTGCAGGCAGGGTGTGAATCCTGAGAGGGGAGAGAGTGATAGACAAACATGGACAGACAGGCAACATCTGCCTTGTCTTTCGTGACCAAACCTCAGAATTCACAGTGTCACTTCCTCTATAATCTATTAATTGAGGTAGTTACAAATGTCTACCAAGGTCCATTGGGGGAGGGAAGCAGCCTCTTCAGGTGGAATG